AAGGTACGGGAGCAAGCCCACCCTACCTTGTGTTGGGTGGCAGAACTAACATGGGCTTGTGATGCAGACAGAGCAGGGTCCAGGCATGACCCTGCCATGCTCTGGCTGCGTGATCTCTTGGAGCCAAGAGCCGAGTTCCTCAGAGGCAATAAGACATGGCTCTCGGGTTCACTGTGAGGATCATGATGTAGTCGTAGCACAGGTGTCACACTGACCATGGGACCTGATGTATCACAGACAGGCAGCAATGGTCCTGGTCGTTTGCACAGAGATAATAATAACTGTATGAGGAGCAATTGCTATGGCTATTTTTGCTGGTTGCGATGGGGATATTATTGAAGATTAGGGGAAACCTAACCGAGAAACACAAAGTGCAAAAAATTGGGATCTCAGGATTGATTCATGGGAGCACAACTGCCCACATTGTGCTCCCTTGTACAACATGACTAGAAAATGCCACTGGGCCTCTGATCTACCTGCCATCCCCAAATACACCCACCTCCTCCTCTTCCTCTTATTTTAGGCAGCGAAGCCAAAGAATGGCAGCCCTCCCTCCAAGGCGGCACACCCAGTTCAGGGGCAAGATGCACATTTTTGTCTCTGGGACCCAGTCAACAAGCCCCAGTGGATGTTGGGGTCTCAGCCATCAGGGGAGCACCCTCCTCTCCTATGGAGAAATTTGAACAAGGAGGAAAGAGAAGTGCAAGTTGTCTCTCTAGCACTTCTGAGCCATTGGTGGGGGTTCCTATGATGCTAGCAGCAGTGGGAACATGGGAGGGGGGAGAGATAGCCCTCCCCCTGCAGTATTAGAAATTTTAAAGTGCCCTCTGTGGCCATAATCCAAAAAACCGACCATCCCAAATGCTACCGCAGATGTGGAGCAATAGGAACTCTCATTCGCTGCTGGTGGGAACGTCAAATGCTACAGCCACTTTGGAAGACAATTTGATAGCTTCTTGCAAAGCTAAATACAGTCTTGCCATACCGCCCAGAAGTTGTACTCCTAGGTATTCACTCCAAACATATAAAGCCACGCAGGAATGCTTATAGCAGCTGTGTTCGCGATTGCCAAAACTTGGGAGCAACCAAGATACCCTCCAAGTCTGTTTGATTCCAAATATCACGCTCTTCCTGCTACACCGGGGCTGTCACTGTGAGAACATGATGAATGATGCAAGACACGAGGAGGAGGAGGAGGAGGAGGAGGAGGAATAGGAGAGGGACCAAAACCCTCCACAATCAAACAGGAAATGTGGCCAAGGTAGATACAATCTTGCAGACACAACCACAAGCTAACAAAAAAAAAAAAAAAAAAAAAAAAAAAAAATGCCAACCACAGATCTAGTCCACCAAAAACTGGCCCAGACATTTGAGTGTTCTCCTCTTTGTCAGTTACTGTTTGTTACCATCCAAAGGGTAGTGAAAGCGGCTCGGCTCGTGTGTCTCTCTTTGGGAGTGAAAGTGTAAACAACAGTGGCTGCACAGGTGGTACCCTGGGGCACCGTGTGTGCCACCAAGGTGGAACGCATCAGGTCCTCTGTCACTTGGAGGAAGTGTCTGCACCTGCCATCTGTCCTGGCAAAAGCCACAGTAGCGGGCAAACGACAAGGACCGGGCTTCCCTACTTTCGCCCAGCAGGCATGCCCCGAGCGCTCTGTTTGTGTGTGCGTGTGTGTGTGTGAGTGTGTGTGTCTCCGCACACGGTGGCTAAACCCGCAGACCCCAACCACGCTACAGCTGTGATCATTTTTAAGGCCCTGAATCCAGGAGGTGATTAAGTTACACCCCACAAGGCACCATCTGGCTGGGGATTTCCCTCGTGGGTGGGGTCTCCTGGAACTTCTTGAATTACACCAGCTTGGATGTCAGTCCCCAGTGACAAGGGTTGCAAGGACGCTCTCTGCCTCCCTCTTCGCTCCCTGCCCACCCTCACCCATAAAAGCCAGGTCTCCATTGCTTTTAAGGGAAAAGGGAGGAGACGGATGTCAGAGGTGACATGCATGGGTCACCTACTGCAAGCCAGCCCCGCTTCTGGGCATTTTCTGCACTTAGCTCACACAAGCTTCATAAGCACCTGTCATCGTGCCCATTGTACAGATTAGGAAATCTAAGTGGCATAACCAAGGTGGTGTCATTCATCAAAGCCAAATCAGAGACTTAAATACAAGTTAGTTTGGCTTTGAACTATGCTCTTTCCACTAAAACCTATGAATCTCTAACATTCTTGCCTTTACTCTTTCTCCAGCCACTGCACGCAGCAAAATCTCCCCTTACTTGTTACAGTTCAGCAGTCCTGGAGGGGGGATTATCACTGGTCCATGCACACACTGGTGCCTCCCACTCACCTGGTACCCTGGACGGTCCCCTCCCCATCGTTAGGCAGGACAGCAGCTGCCCTGCACAAATCCCAGATTCCCCTCTGACCTCCTATCCTGAGCCTCTCCATGGTGGCTCTTGTCCCGACGGTCCACTCTGAGCTGGGTCTCACTTCCGGTTCTTGGCCGGCCACTCCCGACTGATGTCCTGGTCAGGTCATCTGATCCCGGATGCTGCTGACTGCAGGACCGGGCTCCGTGCCCAGCCTAGAGATGCTCCGGGGCCCTTTCTGGTGCCGTGTGCCCACCCCTGTTTCCAGAAAAGGGGTTGGGATGGTGGAGAGGTACAAACTTCATTAGAAACCTTGGGATCCAAGAGCGTGGGAGGCGGCTGCTCTGCAGAACCTCTAGGGGGGAGAGTGCGCAGGCCACACACACGCTCGGTCTTCTCAGCAGCCCTGGGAGAGGCCGCGAGAGCCCCACGCACAGATGGGGACCCAGGGGCCCCCAGAGGAGGAGAGATGGGGTGCCACGGCTCCTCATCCGGGAGTTTCTCTGGGGGACGCTGCTCCACTTGGCTGCCAGCAGAGCCCCCGCTTGCAGTCCTTCCCTGGGACAGCAGGAGGGCTTGGCCAGCACGCCCAGCTTTCTCCTGGGCCCTGCTTCAGTGGTGCCCAGAACTGCGTGTGGTCACACCAGGCATCCCCAAACTACGGCCTATCACCACATGGGGCCCGCCAAGGACATTTATCCCACCCGCCGGGTGTTTTTGCCGCCGCTGCCTGTCTTGCTTAGCAGCCGACTCGTCCCGGGCCCACAGTGCGCATGCGTGGAATGTGCGCCGACCTCTCCAACGGCCTGTGGGACAGTGAACTGGCCGCCTGTTTAAAAAGTTTGACTACCCCTGGCTCACACCAAAGCACCCCGATGAGCGTGGCCCAGCCCTGCCTGCGGCATTCACCAGAGTAAGTACTGATATGGCTACTCCTGATTAAGTAGCAACACCTGCCAACAACTATCCTAAAGTTATATGCATGCGTGTGGGCTTGTGTATGTACATACGTTTGTACCTATCACATTTTTAAATAAATCTAATACATACATAATTGCATGCATATATGTAAAGCTCATTTAATCACTACAGAGAGACTGTGCCAACAACTGTTCTAAACATTTTATATATGGATAGAATCTCATGTAGATATGTATATAATCTCATTTAAATATATATCTTTCATATTTGTGTAAATCTCACATACATAAAACTTCACATATACACATGCATATGTAAATCACATTAAATAATTAGAGTGACTATGTGCCAACTGTACTAAAAATTATATGACATATATAATTTATATGAATCTTATACATAAGACCTTGCATAGACATATATATATGAAAATCTCACTTAATCATTAAACAGTGACTGTATGTTAGCTACTGTTCTAAATACTATATATGCCCATTTATATATATATAAATCTCATGCAAATCTCATTTAATCATTAAAAATGACTATATTCCAACTTCTATATATTATAATCTAATTTTATACACCAATGTCATTTATGTGCCAAAATAACTTTGCATGCAAGAAATTTCCCATATATATCTACGCACAGACTCATATAAACCTGTGTGTGTGCAAATCTCCTTTAATATTCAAAAAGCCCCTGGAGGCAGGCACAGTTGTCATCCCCATAGGCTGAGCAAAGCCAAACACCTGGCACCTGCAATGCCAGGTCTCAGCTGGGGTCCTGGCACCCTTCCCCAGACCTGCTCCCCCAAATCCCAGAGCTGTCCCTGCCTCGCCTAGGGGCAATTCCAGCTTTCTGGCTGCTCAGGCCCCAAGTCCCAGGCTCCCTCTTGGCCCCCCCTCTCCCCCCGCCCCCACTCCACAATCCATTCCCTGCAATCTCAGTCTGCCTTCAGAATCCACCCGGGGTCTCTCTCCTCCTTACCCACCTTTCTCACGTTACTAGACTCCAGGCTCCTTCATTAAGGGTTGTTGGATGGATGGAAGAATGGACAAATGGACAGACGGATGGAAGGATGATGGATGGATGGATGGATGATGGACAGGTGGACGGGTTGGATGGAGGAAAGGATTGATGGTCTTGTGCTTGTGCAAATCACTTTCCCAGAATCCCTCTTTTAGCACAGCCCCCTGACTCTTTTCTGCAGCTCTCACAGGGTCTCTGCGGGGTCCTCATCAGGGCTGCCTCTCCTAAGAGCCATGTTGATGCAGTGAGAGCACGTACGCACAAGGACTTTGCAAAAGTCCATAGCGACAACTACCATCGTAGCCCCCACGTGGCAGCTGGGATTATACAAGATCACGCTCCTCGGAGGTTTAGCAACAGAGGAGGGAGCTGCTGGTGCAAGGAAACGCTCTGTGCAATCAGGGAAGGGATAAATGCTGGTACCAACACCCTCAAAAATTATTCCTGTCACCTCCAGTTCCGGGATGCTCGGGCATTGAGCCGTCACCTGACCCAGTGACTGCCAGATCAGGGTGGGGGGGTGTCAGGTGTCTATGCTCCCCCAGGAACCCAGATACAACCTGGAAGTGCCAGATGTCTTAACCCCCAGGAGGCCCCAGAAACTTCTCTGTGCAGAAACCACGGCACGTACCCGTGAACTTTGCGTGCAACCTGCAAAAGGAGGAACGCAAGCAAGTGGAGACGAAGTTTCAACCTTTTTATTCAAAGCAGCTTCTCACAATGTATAAATACTGCATATTAGCACACATGAAAAATACAACTTCTAAGGCACCCAGAAATGTGTTCATACACGTTACAGGACCATTCACAAAGAGAGTGTACAATTTGCTCTAGACAGTCAGCATTTGATAAATCAGAAGATTATTACCCCTCAGTACTGCACCCAGTCTCGGGAAATATTTACAGCGTGGTGAGAAAGGGTCAGCTGTACCTGCTTTATAATCCTATGAAGTACTCATACTTACAAATATTCAGAACTAGTTAAAGACTCTCCCATGATAATCTGGCAAAATAAAACGAGTAGCCTACTTTTGCAAAGGTCTCGGTGGATTTTGGTGTGTGTGCTACATCCATGATCAAATCCAAACACTCCTAAGGGTGGGCTGGATATGTTTTTTTTTTTTTTTTTGGTAGCCTGCTTCATTATCAGAGGTTTGGTAATAAGCCTTACCAGTAGAACACCACTTCCTCGCCATCAGTCACTTCTCAACTGGTCAATGGATCGATGATTCCATCATGAAGGACAATGGAGCACCACCTTGTATGAGAACTGAAGAAAAAGCTCCCCATACCAAACAGGAATTGGAAATGGGGCGATGCAGAACAAAAGGAGGCAGAAATTTGGCAACTGCAGGATCCTACCGTTCAGTGTAGACGCATCTGAAAAATACACTCGGGAGGTTCACATTCAGATGGAAGAGTCTACACTGGCCAGATAACCCGGAGGAATGCCAGACCTCCCCTTTTTTCACAACATGGATAAAGCCTTGGGACTACAGAACAGACACATCCACCTGAGATCGTGAGTTTCAATGCTAGAAACTCATCTTTCAGAGCCTTCTCAATGTGACAACTAATCCCTCTGCATGGCCAGCCAGGGGGAGCGGGAGGTCGCTGGAAGGGAGCAGTTTCTCTGCACCGCCAAGCGTACGCCCGTCTCTGTCCGGACGTGCCCACGGTCTATGAAACTCGTGCTTTGTTGGAATAATGGAATTCTTTGGTCCTTGGTTTTATGAAAGGCAATATTGTCACAATTCCTGTCAACGTAGACATTGGCAAATGACTTCAAGCTGGGACTAATGGCACAGGGACAAATTAAATACTAGATGGAAAAACTCTACACCCTCCAAACTTCCCACGGTCGACTTAATGAGCTCCAGCAGCAGGCCCGATGCTGGCTCCATGAGGCAAGGTCAAGCCACAGGGGTACCAGAGCTGATGCTCAAAACTAGGTATCGGTTTCTCTGACTGCCACTCTCATTGCAAACATTGGAAGCAGATCTCCATGCTCATGGCTGATGAGTTGACTTTATCAACACTTTCTAGGGATGGACCAAATACCTTGACTTCAGCCTTGCTATATAGCCCTGGACTACTGCAGTGTGAACAACTAAAAGGAATCATCATGCATAAAATTTAAGTCTAAATTCTGGGTGGCTGTATCAGATCCCAGGCACAGCGGACCCGCGGCAGATAAGCTCCGTGACTTATGTGCTTTGCAGACAGCCCTGGGTAGACTGACTCAGCTGACACGTACTTTCTGCATCTAGCTTGCCTTTGCCCTGCTAACTCCAGGTTCGTATGGCTTGACACACACACTGTTCATCGATAAGACACTGAGGACACACGGGAATGCTGATTGTGTAACTAAAATTTGACTTCAGATTGTCTACACAGCAGGACTCGCATGTAAACTTTGCTGGCATCTCTGAAGGAGAGCTGACCCCAGCCAGACTGGACATTTCCAAGTTACCTACAAGGAACCCGGGGCCGGAGCCAGGAATGGGGTCAGGAGCGGGAAATGCCGTTTTTTGGGAACAAATGATGAACCAGCAGCCTTCCCTATGACTGTGTCTAAACCACGTGAATAGTACGAAGGGGGCTCCAGAAAACCTGTCCTTGGTCCATTCCTATGGCCAAAGACAATCACCAAGGTGTCTATCTGGTCCCTGCCGCCATCAACTCAACCAAACTCTTCAGATTAGCCATGAATCACAGACAGAATTGCGCCCATCAGCATGGCTTACGTTGCATGGAGGAAACAACCCGTATTACCCTTTTTTTTTTTTTTTTGCAACAAGCTTAAGGCTCTGTTCACAAACTCCATCAACTGCCACACAGTGAGAATTTATGGGGAGATCTTAAACTACGCATGTAGTTGCAAAGGTTGGAAAATTTACCGATCCTAATGGTAAGGCTTATTCACAAATTCGATACATTTCCAAATTATACTTCAAACTCAATGACTTCAAGGAAAAGAAAATTAACCTGCTCTCTGACAATATAAGAGCATTAGAGTCTAATGGAGGAAAAGAAAAAAAAAAAAGTTGGCACCAAACTAGTATGCTATTTTTTGAAAGAACAAGTGGTATTAATGGAAAAGATTGCCTAAAACGCATATCCTAAACTTATCACAGAAATATAAAAGTTTATATTTTGAAAATATATACTGTATTAAAGTCTGTAAGCATTTCAACCAAAATTTGCAGAAATAACTAAGCAACACTTATCTACAACAAAAATATACATGCAAGACAATCCCAAATGGTTTCCCTTAAATATCTACAAAGGCAAAGTGTAGATTTTTAAAGATTATACAAAACCATTTACAGAGAATAAAACAAAATACTTAAGAAATCTCATTTAGAGTCTTAAATACTGTGTATATTAGTGAGAGTGTCTAGACTAATATATACACCAGATCTAAGTATCTGAATACAGAAACACAAAAGAGAAGCAATTCTGAGTTTTAAATATTCACTTAAGAAGATCTGAAGACGTTTCTATTTGTTTCTCTTTGTTAAAAAAAATTTCCACAGAAACCAGATTGGAAAATTGCATGGATGTGACTCAATTCCAAATTAAAAAAAGTTTACAAAATCCTTTAAACCAACAATTAATAATGGGAAATGCAATTCAGCATTCAGTCAAGGCTATTTTTAAATGTGGATATTCAGAGATACAGTTGCATTGTTCAAAGTCTATGGTGATTATTATTTCTCCATCTTCTTACTAAACTTCATACGGGGGTTAAAAACATAGTTTCATGCTTCAGAGAGAACATTTCCTAGTTTAATCTATACCAAACAATAGGATAATAGTTTAAATCAATTCTCAACTACTTTCTCATAGTTATCCAATTTCATCTTAACAAGTGATTTTGACGGTTTTTACCCACAGACATTATTATTTCTATGCCGGAAGGGACAAGTGAGTGCATCAGTATTAGGGTGTGGCTTCCAAATGGCGAGGAGGTCTGACCACCTTAACGAAAGTTCTGCAAAAAGTCCTCTTGGAATGGAGCTGTTAACTCTTGACGGTTCTACTACAAGATTCTGGGAGTAAACCACCCTCAGGAGCTGAGGCAGAGAGAGAAGGGGAGTTCTTAGCATGGCCAAGAGGATGCATGGCCAGGAGGAGAGGCATGCTGGAAGGGTCCCTGAATAAAGAGGTGCCCTCAACTTCCCACCCATAGCTATTCTTCCAGACCTAAAGGTAATTCTGGGATGGGGCTGCCAAGACCAGTCACAACTCCTCAAAGACCTTCCCAGGCTCCGGGGAATGATGTATGGGGTGGGGACAAAGGAGGGTGGAGAGAGAGAGAGGAGAAAGGCACCGATGTGGAAGATGGAAACTGAAAGTCTGAGCAAGCCATGTGTCCAAACCAAGACACAACCATAGGTCTGGTGTTTTCCATCCCAGATGGACTGGCTGTAAGTTACCTGGATTTCACCTAGACATTGTCACAACAACTACCCAGAAAGAGAAAAAGTCAGTGGTTCTGTCTACCCTGTAGCAAACAGACAGCACCTGCTTTGGCCCGATGGGTGGGATACGCTTATCGAGTGGCCTGTATGCAGAAACCAAAATGTGGACTGTCTTTTTAAATGCCCCCTGTTACACCCAGAACTTACAAATCAATGGCATGAATTCCGCCTTAGGGATGGTTTTGCATTCCTGCCTCAGTCATCAGAGATCATCGACATGGTTACAGGTTTAGATTTGATAATACATCCAAAGCTAAGACATTTCTGGTTCTCTCAGCAGGGAACAAAGGTGAAGGCTGATCAAAAGGAATTTCTAAACATCCCCTTCCATCTCCAACTAGAATCCTGATACCACTCCCGCAGATGTTGAATATGACTGCTCCCAACCAGACGTTGCAGAGTTGAAACAAGGGGCTCTTTCTACAGGGGACTTAGCAGTAGACTATCTGCCACGACACACAAGAACAGTGTTTGTCCGAGCATTTTGGAAAGCACGTATTTGCTTGCTCAAAGGAGGAGACACGACCCAGGTGGAACTGTGACAACACACACATTTGGGTGAAAGCAGGTGCTTCCCTGTAGTAATCCCCTGTAGCACAGGTCTGCGGTCCCTACAGGATCCTACGTGGACAAGGGGTAGGGTACACAGGACTTCATTTCCATTCAATCCCATCTTCCTTGGCTGGATTCCACCAGGGTGGCTGTCCCTTCCAGCTCCCCATGGCCAGGATGGCACAGCCTGGAGCAGAAGGGAGGAGAAAAGGGGCGGTCTCCTCTTCTTCTCGATGCTCATGAACTCTAAAGGAGAGAGACTTTCCACAGAGGGAACCAAGGGCATCTTAAGGCCCAGGAGTCCAGATAAACTGGACAGTCCCATCTCTAGCTCTAGAAGAGACACTCAACCTGTTCTTTCAAACTCAAAGCTCAGGGCCACGGATTCCCTCCACCTGCCCTGCGCCCAGTGCACCTGGTCACCTGCAGAAGAAGATAAAGGACCAGAGAGAGAGATGGAGAACTGTAACCATGATCCCTCCTCCCAGCCCACCCCCCTCTGCCGGCTGTGCCCACTTCCTGCTGCCTCACTCCCCTCTCGCTGAGGAAGGGCCAAGGGATGCAGACACCTAACAGGAATAGAGAAGAAAAGGAAAGCAAAGAGCCTCCGGGAATACTCAGAGGTTGTGCTGGAAGTGGGGAAAATCCGCCATCCTGACAGTCTAACTTTTCTCCTCACCAACCAAAGCCACACCCCAAACCCTGCCCTGTCCACAGCTGATCCAGGGACTTGAGGCTGACCGTCTGACCACAGCTGCAGCCCAGGGGCACCGGGGCCAGGAGACCTCCTCCCTGCTCATCGCTCCCTTACGTGAGCAAACAACTAGAGAAAAGGTGGGTCACTCAGGCTTCTGGTGGCAAAAAGATTCACACCTTCTTAGCAGAGCGGGGACACTTCCCCGCCGGAAGGCCACCACCGGAAATCACTGACCACGTGGAAGAAGTGAACTCCAAGAGCCAAGTTCAGTCATTTGTCTCAAAGAAAAGCCTTACTCTAGACACTATGCTGTCCTCAGGCAGGGCCTGTGCCCCACCCAACCCTGATGTCACACAGTTAGGGACTGGGGTCTGTTTCAGGACCATCTATCGCCTTAAAGGTGGCAGAGTGAGGAGAAAACTCTCCCATGATCTCTCCTAAGGATAAGCCTGGGCAACTTGTATTAGATTATAACAGCTGAGAACCGTTTTTACACATCGAGGATTTGGTGTAGAGCTATTCCTTTTTATCCACAGAAATCCATCCGTCTCCATCTCCCTGAATTTTATCTCTAAGTGGTTCATTGCTAGAATGCACCAAACAGCATGAACCTCGGGTACGGGATTTGGTCCAGGGCAAGTATGAAAATAGTTTATCTGTGTGAACAACAGATATCACAATATATAAACAAAAATAAATAAATAAAAATAAGTCCGATTAAAGAAAGAACATTTTCCTAGTAGTTCATGTTTTTGCAAAACTAGCTTTACATATAATACACATAAATTATCAGAATTTTCCACTTACGTCGTTTTTAAAAATATATATTTAACAAAAACATTTCTAAATGTACAATATCTGGGTTTGTAAATCACTCGATTGGGTTTTAAGACCAAGCCCTATTAGCCACACACAGGTTTGCGCCGGAGACTGAAGCTGGGTGGACGCCACCCTTCTGCTCATCGGCCTGGAACTTGCCTAAGACTGACCGTCCCCTGACACCAGATCTGAACGTCACCAGAGAGCAGTGACAGCCAAGTCTCCAAACCAGAGGCACTGTGTGGACACAGCCTGAGTCGGAAGGACGGGGGAAGTGGCCTTTTTCCCTTCCTGGACCGTGACGGTGCATTTCAGCAAGTGGGGCGAGGGCAGCGGCGCCCGGCAGAGCCCTGGGAAGACACAGCCCTCGAGAGCCCTCCGGCCAGGCGGGGCGGGGACACGGGGCAGGCCAAGTGTGCTGCGTTTCCCATCTGTTACACGAAAGCAAACCAATGAGGAGGAACCGAACGACACGAGGAAATGGACACAACCCTAGGCATAAAGAGACACCGTGACCACCAGCTCCTCGGCCGGGGCGGACGCGTGCTCCGATTCCCCGGACCGCGGGCCGGAGCCGGGAGTCAGGCGCCCTCGAGCACGGGCGCGGGGGCGGCCGAGCCGGGCCCTTCAGACTTCGTAGATCTTGTCCTGCAGGTAGCTGAAGAGCGAGTCCAGGCCCTTGGAGGAGCTCCAGAGCTGCTTGAGCATGAGGCATTCCTTCTCGTTCACGTCCTCGAGCACCGATTTCAAGAAGCTCCGAACGAGGCATTTGGACTCTTCCAACACCTGCGGGGACAGGTACGAGCCTGCTTAGCCGGGGGCTCCGCTCCAGAACCGGGTCCTGAGCCCCCGGCCACCCCCCCCCACCTCTGCCGTGCAAAGCCAGAGCAGGCTGCCCCCTTCAGCCCTGCCCACCCTGCCGCTGCCACCAGGGAGGGCTCTGGACGCGTCAACGTGTTGTTGAGCCCTTGGTCCCTGGGGTGGCGGCCGTGGCCCATGTTGCCCCAGACCACGAGAGCCTTGTCTTTTACTCAGGGGTGACAACAACACAGTGTCCTCTACAGATGTCATGAAGACGTTTGGCTTTAACCTCTTCACACCTCATTTTCATTATCTGTCGGGGACAATGACACCAAACCCGAGGACCACCGGGAACACAGACCGACGCCGTGAAATGGACGATCCCCACCGACCTGGCCCAACGGCAATGCGCGTGTGTAGGCCATGTGGCATGGTCATCACTGCGGTGACAAGTATTAGTAAGGACGGCAGCAATAATAGTAACAGAAACTATAGTAATAAGTAACGATCACGGCAATCTAAATAGTCATCATCATAATAGCGACTAACAATCACAGCAATCATAGTAATGATTACTGCAGTCATGCGTAAGAACCATAGTAATAATAGTAATAATAATCACAGCAGTGAGTAATAATAATCGCAGTAATAATAGTAATAACAACAATGCTACTACAATGCCCATTAACCAATAGGTTCCATGAGACGTATTTTTCGCTACAAGGATGCAGCATTTCCATCCCCACGTTATAGATGAAGCTCAACAAGGTGCCACGGCCCAGGGCTGCGTGGCTACTCGGTGGCAGGTGTAGCAGGGAAACTGAGGTCTGGCTGGTTCCCGCTGGTGGAGGCAAGGCCAGAGCCGAGGCCCCTGAGCCTCCTTCACCCTTCGCTGTCCTCCTCTAGCCTCTCCCCAAACTCCCTGAGACGTAAAGAGGCCAGACCCCCACTCCTGGCTCCAGCAGGCGGGGAGGGCGGGAGGGGGTGCTGCCAGGTCTCCCAGGGAACATCTCGTCAGAGCACGGGCTCCCCAAGTCCCCGGGCACTGATCTGTGGGGGATGGGCTCCTCTCTTAGGAAACCGCCCCCTCCAAGCTCCTGAATTCCCACCTGTTGACAGCAGAGACCTCCTTGCGGTAGTTCTTATCCTAAGAGCATGCCCCCCTCGGGTACGCTCTCCACTGCTGGCCTCCCCAAGTGTCTCCCCACTGCCAGCGGAGACACCAAAGCCCTCCCTGCAGCTCCAGGCCTGTCTCCCACCCTCCTTCCGGCTGCCCCGCCCTGGCGTCCCCTGTGCCAACGGGCCACGAGCTGCAGACGGCGCTCCCTGTGGACTTCGGACTCTCGCCATCCGCTCCGCCTAGAGCTTCCACCTGCCTCCCCGCGAAGCCGACCCGGGTGATCAGCCACCCTTTTGCCCCGGACTACGGGGTTTGCCGGGATGCAGGATTGCCTGCACTGAAGCCAGGTGAGCCCCCAGTAGAGCAGGACAGATTGGTCACCCCAGTCACTGGGGTCACTAGGAAGATGGAAAGAGCACCCCAGCAAGGAGATGAGCAAGTCCTGGGCCTTCCTCCCCCCAAAGTCCCTGTCTGGGCTCCGGGACTGGCCCCTTCCCCACCTTTCCACCGACAGTCCCCTGCCGTGCTCGGAGTGGCTGTCAGGAGATAAAACCAACACTTAATTAAAACCCGGGGCCTCTGCGGAGGTGTGATTTATATATCTATTTTCAAGGTGTCTTCATCTTCGGTGTAAACGTGCCGAGCGCTCGGTGGAGACGAGACGTGACGTCCGGGGACAGCGTGCTCTCTCCCACCAGTCACCCCGGGCCGCAGGGTCAACCCTCTGTCCTCAGTTGCCTGCCCTTCCTGGTTCTTTGAAAGCTATAGGTGTCTGTGCTCTCGTGTGGTCAGCACTCGACTGGACCCCAGGGCCCGGATCTCTCCTGGAGTGACCCCCAACTGGGGAGGGTAGAGGCCACGCAACGACCTCCCTGCCTCCCTCCGGGCCAGCCTGTCCCTATGGAGAAGAGGCGTGTGCTAAAGTGCTAAAGGGTCTTTTGCTTATTCCCTGAGTGACCTCTGGCAGGTCAATCGGTCCCTCTGAGCCTTGCTGTCCTCATCTATAAAATGGGCCCACGACAGGGACAGGGACAGGCACACGGGAGGCGGGGAACTCACCACGGCGCTGCAGGACGCCATCTCCTTGACCCGAAGCATGACCTCCTGGCTGAAGGTGGTGGGCCAGAAGACCTGCGACACCAGCCCCCTGCTGCACGCCTCCTGGGCGGTGAGCTTCCGCCCACAGAACAGCATCTCGTTGGCCTGGAAAAGCAAAGGCGGGGGAGGCTGAGCGCGCCCACGTCCGTTAGCCCGTGCCGGGCTTGCCGCGTGCAGCGGCATCCTGGGCTGGGCACATTTTGGTGCCGGTGGCCCGGCATGACAAGGGTCTAGGGAAGAAGGGATGATCTACCCTAATTAATAAAGCCCCTCTGTGGCGTTCCCAGCTGCAGGTGTGGGGGAGGAGGCTTTCTCCCTCCCTGGGTGCAAATGAACGTTAGAGAGCCCAGGGGCCACCCACCCGTGGCTGCGTCCCTGCTCTGAGGACAGGTGGGGTCACAAGAAGACAGAGACACGAGAGAGAGAGAGAGAGAGAGAGAGAGAGAGAGAGAGAGAGAGACGTGATGGTGCTTGAGTTCCCGGGCCCCGTCTCTCCAAGAGAAGTTCCACTTCTGGAACTTCTGGACTTTCCAGATGGGGGAACCACTAAGGCCCTTAAATTTCTTTTTAAAACAAAATTAAGCCAGTTACACTGTTTCCATCATTGGCCACTGAAGGCCCTAAAGAGCATGGACACCAGGGCAGAGAGGCGCATGTCTCCCCGTGGCGCGGGGCTGCTCACAGGCTCTGCCCCATCGTGACGGGGACAAAGCCGCCTTCCTCGGGCTCTCTCAACCTGGGCCCCCTCCACAGCCCACCCCCCAGAGAGCTTCCTTTTGCTGTGAAATTTGCAGCCGTCATCCACAGTCCGGGAGGAGCTGCACGGACAGGGTCCTGGGCACAGACAGCAGCCGAAACTCAGACAGGTGACCCTCACACTGAGCATTAGGGGGTGGCAGTCACGTCCACGTGACGGGCTCCTTACCTCCCTCGGGACGGATCCCCGCCTCCTCCATGTGGCCAACAGCGTGGCCCTGCCTATCTTCCACCTGCCCCCACTCCTCCCTCCCCGCCCTGGGTGCTGGCTCCTCTCGTGCTGAAATGCCAAGCACTCTCAGGCCTCCAGGTCCACACACACGTCCCCACCCTGGGGTTCTGGCTGTCACCGATGGGCCATGATGACCCAGAGGACAATCAGAGTAAAGAAATGTATCAGGTCAGGCCATGTACGCTGTATAAGCTCATGTATAAGCTCACGTGTATGTATGTAACGTGCAAGCTCGCAGCACGTGGCCACGCAACAGAGCGGAGTGACGGTGCCCCTCGCGGGCCTGGCCCGTAAAGGCCTCTGGGCGAATCCAGGCTCACCCTCCTCCCCCCCCCGCCTGCCGGACTCGGGGGCAGAGCTGCCGGATGGGAGACACCTGGGTCCCCGGTCCGTGCGGACGCTCCTACACCTACGCTGGACCACGGGAGAGTGAGGAGGAGATTTTTGCCGTGTAGACCGCAGAGATTGCGAGTTGCGTGTTGCAGCACCCAGCCTACCCTAATGCACGCCCTTAACGGGTTGTCGTGAGGAATACACGAGACATCACGCGACGTGCTTGAAGTCAAGCACACGGATGCACATCACCTTCGTCTTCTTGGGCTCGGCTGCTGCACCCGGCAACTGCCAGCGTGGAGGCTCCGGGGCAGCCCGGCCTCTGGGGAGGCTGAGGAAGCTGAGAGAGACCCCCAAGACAGGGACAGGGACACATCCATGCATCAGCGAGGGACGCCCCTGGGGCGCAGGACGCTTACCAGCGCGACGCCCAGGATCTGGGGGAAGGTGTACGAGGAGCAGCCGGCGGGCGTGAGGCGGATGGTGGCGTAGGGCGTCTGGAACCAGGCCTTCTCGCTGGCCCACACGATGTCGCAGAGGGGCAGGATGGAGGCGCCCAGGCCCAGGGCCGGCCCGTTGATGGCCACCACGATGGGCTTCTTAAACTGGATGAAGGCCTTCACAAAGTCCCTGTGGGGGAGAGACAAGGCCTTCTTGAACAGGGGGCCCGCGGCCTGCAGAGTCCCACGGGACACCCCTGATTGTCCCGGGCGCCACGGTGCACCCTCACGTGGCCAGAGGTGAGCAGGTGCTGGGCAACAGCCTCTCTACCCTGGACACTGAGCCACGGAGCTGCCTGATTTTCAGAGGTGTACTGATGGGGTGGCCACACGTCCTGGTCTGCCCAGATTGTCCCAGTGCGTGCCCAGTGTCCCAGAGGTGCACCCACTCACCACCTCCCAGCACTCCCCAAAAGCCGTGGCTGGGACAGAAAGTCATACAGACACCTAAGAAACTGACAAATCGTATACGTCCTAAGGAAAACCACCTGTTAAAATGCAGAACAAGAAAAAGAAACAGAACCAAAAGGAAGCACGTTTCAATCCAAAGAGAGAAGGAAGGTGGGCTGGGTGGTGGCGGCTTCCGGAGGTATGAATTCCTCGTTCTTGGAGGTACCCAAATTTAGCTCAGTGACCACTCTGGGTGATGCTGTAGAGGGAATACAAGCTCCAGATAGTGGGCACAGGTTGGGATTGACGACATTTAAAACTTCTTTCAATCCTAGGCAGGTCTGATGCTGAATTACCTGCAGGGATGCCAGACTCATCGAAGACAGTTCTGAAATGCCCACAAGGGCTATGTGCTAGGATGGCTTTGACTAAAATGAAGGAAGGACACTGGACTCCCTTGTAGGGATTTCTAAATGCATTGCTACAGGTTTGGACAATGTTTTCTCTCCCTGCCCTTCTGCATGGAGCAAGGTTACAGCACGCATCTTTACCTAGAGAGCAAAGCCATCAGGCGGTAACTTCTATTTCCTTTGCCTTAGAATGCTTTTTGCCTCTTCCCTAGTTGCTATATAAGATCTATGAAATTTTAATATTCATCTGGACAAGGAGGAAAGATCGGCTATCTAGTAAAGCCTGCATCCTTCACTACTCTCAGCTGGAAGGTTGGAAATTACCAAGAACTCCCAATAATAAAATCCAAAGGCCCATGACCTTGAGATGACCTTGGTCTGCCTTGGCTTACTTCTCCAGGCTTCTGTCACTTCACGCTCACCCTTGGCCACTGTGCATGAACCACACAGACCTCTGAGAGTGGTTAGAAAACACTGTTATCACAATTTGCAATTACCCTCACTAATTATTTGCTTGCATGCTCGTGTTTGGATTCTGCTTCCCCTTTAGCTCTTTAAGGACACCCACAGCTCTGGGGCACCACCTGGGGCCCTGCTGGGCCTCCATCAGTGTTGGAATTAGTGCTCAGTAAACAGCTGTTGAATAAATACATGTGTCTCCCAGAACAAGGGCAGAGGCATGGCAATGGCAAACCAGCTCCTCACCACCCTGTTTTCCCTGGGTCTAGGTCTACTGGTGGGTCTAGGTCTACTGGTGGACCACATTTCCCAGCCTCCCCTGCAGCTGGCTGGGGACAAGTCACAGCACTGGCCAAATGGGATGTGGGTAGAAGCCACACGCACCACTTCCAGGTGCACGCAAACCTCCCACTGTGCAGCCCTCCAAGCCTGCTCATCTGGACAAGCACGGCAGTCTTGGAAGACACTGCTGAGCCACAAGATGGAAGGAGTCTGGGTCCCCGAGTCACTACTGGGAGGACAGCCATGGGCTGATCAGTCCTGTCTGTCTTTGGCTGACATATGCAAGAAGTACATTTCTTCCCAATTGAGCCATATTCGGGGTTTGTTTGTTACAGCAGCTAATACTTAACTAATACAAGCGTCAAGCTGGTTTATCCCTTCTTGATTGATACTGTTCCTCACTGCAACTTTTATCAAAAGATGTGGGTGTCACAGGGGTGTGTTGGGATCAGACAAAACGGTGAGAGGGCTGCTTAACATTCTTCTGAGCTAGGGAGCATCTTATGATGCTGACGTAAGTCGTCATAAAAGTACACCCCTTTGGCCCAGACTGGAGGCAAGACTTTGCCTGCGAAGGTGGTGTCACCTCAGTCACTGCCGGCCCCAGTGCAGCAGACCCCAGAAAGACACTGCTTCGAACAGGGAGTCCTCGCACCAGGACGCTCTGACGCCTGGTCTTCTGATGGCCCATCTCCTGGCTTCACTTCCCGACCTCATGGTGAGTTTCAGCCCAGGTCACTGGCTGTTGAAAGTGCTCTTTACCAAATTCAAATCAGAGTCTGCAGGGGACACAAGGATTCCTTGTAGGATCCATGGAACCCCAGGGTTTGGGTGACTTTTGTCAAACATCCCATTCTTGAGTGCCTTCGTACAATTCCGGAGTCTTGGATCTCAGAGCTGGGAGGGACTTTAAGACTCTGGGAGCCATGCCTTCCACCTGACGCAGAATTCCTTCCATCGCATCCTGAGCATGCACCATCCTGCCTTTGTTGAATGCATTCAGTAAAAGAGGGTCCGTGCCTCTCTCTGCTGTGGGCCTCCCGTGGGCCTCTCTGGTACTTGCATTGCCTGGGCTCTGCCCGCCACACGACAGCCCTCCAGGAATGGGCTGCGGAATGGCCCGCAGCCCTCATGACCTTCCGGAACCTTCCCGATTCAGGAACCCAGAGGCTTTGGCTCTGTAGTTTCCAACCTGAGCTCTGCACAAGGGCATCAGAGACCCCCCCATCCTCCCTGGCACAGGAGGGCAAAGGGGACCAACACCGCAGAGCTCTGACTGTCCACCCGAGCCCCTCCTGTTTCATTCCAATCCGCCTCTCATTTCATTTCCTTGATATAAAAATGTGATGCAAAGCCCCTGCCCCCCTGCCCCATCCTTTTTCTCTCACTTCAGGCGGCCGATCTCTATCGCAAGGAGCCAGACAGCAAACAGGATATTGCATTTCAGGCCCTGCGGCTCAGGTATCTGATCTCGACTGCAGCGGCTGGGCTGAGCTCGGGAGGCTGTCCCCGTCCTCCCCGGCATCCACGGCCACCGGGCTGCCCCGGCCCCTGCAGCCTCCTCTGCTCAACCCTGGGCCCTGTGGCTTCTGCCCGACCACGCTGCTGAGCTGCCCCGGCGAGGCAGAGGAGCAGGAACTTCAGAGTCTGGAAGACTCGGGTCAAGTCTCATTCTTGGGTCATTCTGTCCCTAGCTAGTTGGTAAGATCCTGGACAAGGTGCCTGATGTCGGGACCCTCGTTTTCTCCCTCTGTGAAATGGCAAAGCCAACGGCGTCTCCCCACATGTGGGGCTGAAGGAGAATGAAAGGAAGACGAGGTCCACGGTGGCCCGGCACAGGGGCACGCGGTCCCGGCTGCTTTCTTACGGGTAATGCTTCCGCCGGGTTCTCGCGGTGATCTGCGATCCATCCTTCTAGCCTAAGGCGGATTCAGAAACATAACTTTGCTCGCAGGGATGCCTGGATTTCCCCTGCAGCAAATGGCATGCCTTTTGCGACCCACTTAGTTAGCCACTCTCTTTAATCAGAGCCAAGGGGGGCGGCCCTCCCCCTGCCAAGGCTCAGAGCAGTGGCAGCCAGTACGGGGCCCGAGGGGACCACGTGGCCACTCTGGTGGGTGCCACAGGGGTCTCCAGGAGCCCGCTCCATGCTCAGACTCAGCTTAGCCAGCACTCACGGTTGCAAGTGACAGCAATAGTGACGACAACAACAACAATTCCTGTTGCTTTTTCTCAGTGCTCATTATTGGGAGGAGCCCAAGGACTGCACATGGGGTATCTGATTGCTCTTGGCCTAGCAGCCCACCACTGAGGATAGCACCGTCGCTTTGACTGTTCCCAGTTTCCAGATGAGCTAGTGAGGCCAGAGAGGCCAGTGACACGCCGAAGGCTGCACCCCCAGCAGCTGCGGAGGTGGCTTGGAGCTCAGGCAGCTTCCACGCACCACGCGGGCAGCCGCCAGCCCACGCTGCCTTCCTGAAGCAAGCCACCACGTCCCCTACGATGAGCGCAGGGCAGGGCGGGGCAGTCCCTCTTCTGGACAGGTCCCGGAGAGCGGCTCCAGCTGAACGCATCGCCTGAGCCCTCCCCACCTCTGCGAGTTCACTCATCCAACACCTGCAGAGCGAACATGGTGCCCTGGCCACGTGTGTGCAGGTTTTCCTCAGGCGAGGATGAGGAGGGGGTCCTCAGACGGGGCAGGGCCACGCGGCACCCCGGATCCCGGCGGCCAGCCCTGGCGAGAGCACGTCCCAAGACGACTGCAAGGGAGGTCAGTCAGTTATACGGAGACGGGCAGGTTCTGTGTCCAAGAGCTGTCTCGGCCCCCGCTAGATTTGCAATGAAGTCCGTTCACAAGGGACTTTCAGACCACAGGCGTGTGGACACGCCTGGAAAGTGTGCAGGAGCGGGCACCGAACTCGCGGCACGGACCAAGCTCCTTCCAGCACCAGCGCCCTCCACTCGGGTGCCTCTCTGGGGATCCACAGGATGTTTCCTGCGGAATGCTCCGCTGCCACCCCAAGTCCCCGACTCCTGCGTGTGGCCTCCCAGGGGGCAGCCCCAAGCCTGGAGGAGCCGGGAGAGCTGGCTGGAAAGGACGCTGGTGCCGGTGGGCGCCGAGCCGGGGTCTCCTGCTGACCCCATGGGCACCCCGCTCTCCACGGCGACACTGTCCACGCTCCACCCACCCTCCCTGGAAGCTCCCGGCCCTCCTCGGGCCACATGGCCTCCTCCCTCGCCCTCTTCTTCTGTCCCCCGCAGAAAGAAGGATCTCCTGTTCCTCTCGGTGTTCCCAGTCAGCGGTGCCGAAACCTCGTGGCCGGCATAGGGCAGGGCGTCCTCCACCCTGGCTGCACCTGAGGACCACTGAGGGGACTTCAGATCAACAGACGCGACAGCCCCGCCCCAGCCTGAATTACCCACACTCCCCTGGGGTGCTGCCAAGCATCTGGGTCTTGTGGACGCTCCCTCGGGGCTCCCTGTGCTGTCGGGGCTGGGAACCAGGGGACCGGGGACATCCCTTTCCCGCTGTGTCCCTGCGAGCTCACACATCAGCAGCTGGGCTCCCTTGGAAGCATCAGGAAGAACTCCTTCTGCCGTCTCGCCCTCTTCTCTTGCCTGGGGGAAGCTCACCTGCCCGCGGGGACCTCGACTGTCTGACTCGCCCTCCCCAGAGGCAGGGCTGGGCCTCACGCCACCAGGCAGAGGGCGGCAGCCATGTGGCTAAGACAGGGGCCGACCAGACCCAGGCCTTCACAGAGAATCCCTTTCTCGTCAAAAGAATGAAAGTGGGACCTAACCTAGACAGCAAAGCATCCCTAAATTTTGGCAGAACTGAGATTTTATAGATAAAAATGCAGCACACCCAACTAAAATTCGAATCTCAGATAAATGACCGACAATTTTTTTTTTTTTTTAATTTAAGTGGGTCCCAAATATTTAGTGTGGGGACACACTTATGCTAAAAATAAAACCCTGTGTTGTCTCAAATTCAAGCAGCCCGTTATTTTTGTTTGGGAAGCCCGCGCGGGCCCCCAGAGGGTCTGACCGGGGGCGGAGCTCACCTGATGGCTTCCGCGATCCGAGTGCTCTCCTTCCGCCGGTCGCTGGACAACCGGCCGATCAGGTAGGAGTAGTCCAGGCCGCTGCAGAACACGCTGCCCACGGCGCTGAGCAGCAGCAGCTTGCTGTCGTCCGTGGCCGCGTTGCAGAGCGCGCGCCGGACCTCCTTCATGATCTGCAGGCGGAGAGGAGGGTGCAGGGACGGTGAGCGTCTACACTATAAGCCCAGGGTGGGGCTTTCAGACCACGAGTACGCCAGAGCCCTGACCCCTGAGCCTCTGCCTGTGCAGGGACCCCCCCCCCCCAGTACAAACACACGTCCAGCGCCAAGGACAGAAACGCTCAGCAAAACCCAAGCTCTCCAGCACCGGCCCCGGAGCAGGCAGAAGTATGCCGATCGGGAGGTGGTGTGGTCCCCCGGCTGCAGACCCGGATGCCCGGCTGGGTGTCGCTGGACCCCTGGAAAATCTCTGCAAGTCTTCTGGCATCTCCTTGCTCAGCCCTTTGTAAGGTATGGAAAACCAGTCCAGCGCACAGCCCAGGTGGGGTGCATGAGCCTTCGCTGATGGGCTCCGTTTAATTCTGCTCGGTCCCCAGCCCAGACCTGTGGAGTGAGACTCTGCACTGGCAGAAGACCCCAGGGAATTCGATGCATGTTATCGTTTGGTAAGTGCTGCTTTCATATATGAGCTTGCTTATTGGCCTTAAAAGAGAGTTATGTTGTTCAAGTCCTGTGTTATTAATGGAGACATCGAAGCGTGGTGAGTTTGCGTGGTTTGCAGGTGCGTGGAGAAGCTGGACTTGGACTCGGGAGGTCGTGCTCTGGGGCCCACAGCCTTCCCCCCACGGGCCACGGGCCTCTCAAGGTAGCCACGGGCCTCTCAAGGTAGCAGGGTCTTTTATCAAAAGCCCCCCGATGTAAGAGCAGCTGGCTACAGGAGCAGCAGTCTGTGCTGCGCCAGGCTGTGGAATTTACGATGCAGCCAGGGTCAGAAGCTGAGCTCCTGCCGCACACATGCTGGGTGCGGAGGCCAAAGTGTCACCCAGAAGCTAGAAGTCTGGGCTCTGGCTGAACCAACCCCTGAAGCCCTGCACACACCCTGACTCCTTCCAATCACACTCCCGCAGCTGACCCTGTCCGTCCTGACTACACAATGTCCCCTGGGTGCCTGGGCATTTGTGACGACTCACGGCAGTGTGGCCAGGCTCAGAGGGTGCATGCTTTGGGGATGGGAAGTCTCTGTTGGAATATGGCTCTACCATTAATGAGCACAGCCCCTCTGGTCCTTCTGCCACCTGTTCACCACACCACAGTCAGAGCAAGCTGCTCAAATCTTTGGCACGGGAAAAATCTCCCACGAGAACTTTTAAAACCCTGGCCAGGCATAGTGGCTCACGCCTGTAATCCTAGCACTCTGGGAGGCCGAGGCGGGAGGACCGCTCAAGGTCAGGAGTTGGAAACCAGCCAGGGCAACAGTGAGACCCCGTCTCTACTAAAAATAGAAAGCAATTAATTGGATAACTAAAAATATATAGAGAAAAAATTAGCCGGGCATGGTGGCGAATGCCTGTAGTCACAGCTAGTCGGAAGGCTAAGCCAGTAGGATTGCTTGAGCCCAGGAGTTTGAGGTTGCTGTGAGTTAGGATGATGCCACAGCACTCTAGCCAGGGCAACAGAGTGAGACTCTGCCCCCCCCCAAAAAAAAAACTTAAAACTCCAAGCCTGTCCTATACATGGATTTGAAGTTCTGGATTACCAAGTTAAAAAAAATTGACATGGGAATTGGACATGAGCTAGTGGTATCCTTGAGGTATGTGATGGAAGAAGTAAGTGTAAAAGTACCCTGGAGAGAAACTGCAACCCAGACTGCATGGGACTTACACAGAAAAAAAATAAACCCTTGCTGAAGATGAGCTCACAATCAAAAGTTACAACACACTTGAGGAAACACAAGATGGCATACTCAACAAATGAGAGGATTGCATAACATAACTTCAAGTAAAAGAATGATCTAGAAGAGACTATAACATAAGAATGAATGTTTAAAACAATCAGAGAGGAAATGAGATATCTGAACAATAAAGAAAGAACAAGAGAGTATGGGGAAAAATAGATTTGAGGGGGAAAAGAAACTTCTCAAAATGAAAAACAATGTCATGGAAATCTGCTGAGATGAGCAGCAGATTAGATGGAGCTAAAGGGAGAATAAGGGAACCGAAAGATAGGAAGCAACTGCCCCAAATGTAGCATATAGAAAACCAGAGACTGAAAATATAAATGAGAGGTTAAAGACAAGAATGATAAGACAAGAAGATTTAAAATAGGTGCTGTAGGAGTTCTTATCAGGAGTTGATAAAGAAGAGGGGAAGGGCAATATCTAAAGAGATAAGGGGTGAGAATTTTACAGAACTGATGAAAGACGCATTCGTTTCCTGTGGCTAATATAAAAAGCTACCACAAGCTTAAACAATGCAAATTTCTTACATTATAGTTCTGTAGGTCGGAAGTCTGATGCAGGTTTACTGGGTGAAACCAACTTGTCAGCAGGGCTGTTACTATATGGAGGCTCTAAGGGAAAAATGCATTTCCAGGCCTTTTCCAGTTTCTGGAGGCCGCCCACGTTCCTTGGTTCATGGGCCCTCCCTCTAGCTTCACAAGCAGTAATGGCCAGTGAGTCTCTCTCACTGTCTTACTTTGTATCTCTCTGACACTGACTATTCTGCTTTCCTCTTCTGCGTCGAAAGACCCTCTTAATTACATTGAGCCCATCCAGATAATCTAGGGTAACCTCTTTATTTTAAGGTCAGATGATTAGCAACCTTAATCTCATCTGAAACCTTAATTCCCCCTTGCCATGTAACCTAACATATTCTCAGGTTCCGGGGATTAGGAGATGAACAGTTTTGGGGGTGGGAGGAAATTATTCTACCTGCCACAGACCTGAATCCTTAAATTCAAAAACAACAAAAAGCTATGCAGAAGAAATAACAATTAACACATGCATGGACATATCGTCTTTAAACTTCAGAACATCAGAGACAAAACAAAGCCTTCAATACCTCCAGAGGCAGAAGTAAGGTGTATCCGACATAGAGCAAACATTCAACTGGAGGCATAATTCCAAATAGCAGATACAAATACCAGACGGTTAACAGAATAAAACTTTCAAACAGCTCAGGATAATAACCACCAAAAAAAAAAATTCTTCACCTAGCTAAACTATCACTCAAAAGCCAGGGTAAAAATTAGGTAGCTTCGGCAACAGAATGCTTACCACTCTTAGACCATCACTAAAAGAACTAAAGAAAGGATGTACTTCAAGAAGAAGAAAATGATATTCAGAGAGAAAAACTGACGTGCAAGGAATAACAGCAAGCAAAGAAACTGGTGACTGTACTGCTACATCAAGATGAGAATGGACTATAAAACTCATGACACCGATATTGACTAATCCGAGGGTGGCAACTTGCACAAGGTACAAGAACTCTAGCAGTGGGCAGTAACACTGTGCAACATTTTCACGAAGGAATGACTAGAGGCAGAGCATGTCAAGGTTACATGTTTAGAAGTGGTATGGAGGTAATGATTACATGTAGACTTCGCTACATGTACATGACTTAAGAAAACTTCTTAAAAATACATGAATTACAATGGATGAGGGAGATAAAATAAAATACATGGCAACAGAAAACAAGGCATGGTACTTGCCTGGTTCATGAAGCTGGGAGCCTAACAGGGGAGACAATACCTGAACAGGCCTTTAAAGGATCATTATTAATGATACAATAGACATCATCCTAGGGTGCAGGTGGGGGAGAGATTAGGAGAATATTTATTGTTTTTTATACAACACTTTATTTCTTTTTGAGACAGAGTCTCGCTTTGTTGCCCAGGCTAGAGTCAGTGCCGTGGCATCAGCCTCGCTCACAGCAACCTCAAACTCCTGGGCTCAAGCGATCCTGCTGCCTCAGCCTCCCCAGTGGCTGGGACTACAGGCATGTGCCACCATGCCCGGCTAATTTTTTCTACATATATTAGGTGGCCAATTAATTTCTTTCTATTTTTTAGCAGAGACGGCGTCTTGCTCTTGCTCAGGCTGGTTTCGAACTCTTGATCTCGAGCAATCCGCCCGCCTCGGCCTCTATACAACACTTCTAAAGGAACTCCCATTTGTCAAGCAACCTAGAAGTGCAAGGGATTGAATCAGGTAATTTCCACATGATATTCGATTCCAGACAAAAAAAATCTGGCAAGGTACGGAGGTCTCCCGATCTTGCAGGGGAAGCAGTGAAGACCCAGAGAGGTGCAGGAAGCTGCCTAAGGCCACACCAGCAGTGAGGGGCAGGACCACGACTCAAATCTCACACTGATGCCTCTTCACTTTCTACAATTCCTTAATAAATGGATAAATGTTCTTGGAAAAAACAGAACCAGAGATCAATCAGAACTGCGAACCTCTAGGCCCAGCGCTGCTGGAAGGATGGGAGAAGCACATTCCGTGTTAACATGGCGTGAGCCACAGATACTCATTTTGAACATCAAAAAAGCCAACAGGCCACTGTCTTGTGGGTCCTTTAATCCATCTGGCTCCAGAAATAGATACACTCTCACCTATATATGAACTCTCTCTCTCTGAGAGGCAAAAAAAAAAAAAAAAAAAAAAAACCAAAAAACCCTGCTGTAAAGAGATGAACTGCAAATCTTTATATGACTCAGACAGCAGCCTGAGGCTTCACTTACTTGTCAATCAGTAAAAACAGGAACCGAAAAGCACCCATCTCTTTTACGAATTAAGCTGAAAATACATTTGTGTTGTATTGATACAACAAAAGTACAAACCACATTTTGAAATTTTGAAAAAGTTATATTTATTTACCGTATCTTTCCTTTGCCTTTCTGGTGCGGAGAATCCAATTTGGACAGATGGCTGAGGTTCCACCTTCTTGAAGGACCCCACATTTTATACTGTGACTGGGTTTGTTTTAAGTAAAATGTTCTAAAACCACTCCGCACTCTGCCTTCCGAAACAGGGTGCACTGCGTGCAAGAAACTATGCACGGTCATTCATTGGCCTATAACAGGTCGATCCCCCTTAGAGGCTTCTAGGGTGTGATTCTCTAACGAATAGTCCCAGACCCGATATGCACTTTGAAGTCCTAAATCTGTCCTTTACG